GTGCAGCTGCCTTAGCCAGTTCCCTGCTTCAGCTGGCAAGGCTCACTTCCTGCAAGACATCCCTGAGGAGAAGCCACATGGACCTACCCCCTGCCCTGGGTGCTGGAGCAGCTGAGTGGAGACCCCTGCCAGTGCTGAGATGCTTACACGCTCACTGATTTGGCTTTCCTCCTGCAGTCAGCATTCTAGCATGTGTTTTGTGAGATGGAGGACTTTGTGGATTGGTGTCAGACATATGGGTTAATGCTGGACTTGTGGGCTTGGGCAGCACTAGGTTGGGATGTTTTCTTATATAAAACTGTCTCTTATACATATGAGTGTTTGTGGATTTGTTTCTCTAATGTACCCAGACTAACTCAGGTGACTTAGTACAAAAGTGGTGTCATCTCTTCTAAAGAAAAGGGGACCTGGGCACTCCACCCGTGACTGTGGGAGATGTGCCGTCTCAGTAGAAAGCCCCGGGGCCACGTCCAGACCTGAGAGGGGAGATGGTGGTCAAGGCTCTGGAGCCCACAATGCCTGCCCCCCACCCTGTAAGGCCCCCAACACACACACACACACACACACACACACACACGCAAGTACCCTATCAGGCTCCCTACCTCAGCCGTCCCCAGAAACCCTGCATGGAGATCCTTACCCCCAGATCACCCACCTCCCCACCTTCCTAGACCCTTGAGCAAGGCAGTCGCCCTCTCGCCTTCACAACTTGCCTGACCAAACCCTGATCCTGGCCAAACCTAAGGTACCCTGGTGGCACAAGGGTTAAGCATTCAACTGACTGCTAACTAGATGGTTGGCAGTTTGAACCCACTCACCGCTGTGCAGGAGACAGGTGTGGCAGTCTGCTTCTGGGAAGATGACAGCCTTGTAAACCCCACGGGACACTTCCCGATCCTGTAAGGCCTACAACTCAGAATCAACCCTACGGCAACGGTCTGGTCCGTCCTAAACCGTCCATCCACTCACTGCCTGTGGCCAAGCTGGGCTTTCTGAGGGACACACTGCACCACCTGGCTTCATATGAAATTCATGACCCAGGTCTCTCAAAGGCCCTAGTTTGTTCCCTTTCCCTTCACTGCCTGGCCTCTCCACCTCCTGTTCATCCCCTTTGCCCCCCGCCCCACTTTCCCCACACACTGACCTGGCACACCTTTCTTCTGCCGGCCTCAGGACCTTGGCACCGACTGCTCTATCCCCAGATTTCAACAAGGCAGGCCCATCCTTCAGGACTCGGCCGAAACATGACCTCCTCCAGAAACCTTTTCTAATCAGCAACCAAAAGAAACATCCACCATCTCTTACCAATACTAGGTACTTTGTTATGTACTGTCCACCCTTACTTACCAGCTTCCTCTCAATCCCCGTAGCAGAGCCTGCCTGACCCAGAGCAGCAGTTGAGTGTATAAATGGCTGAGCAAGCCCTAGCAGCTGTGTGCTTGGATTACAAGGTCAACATGGCAGGGGGCATGGCTAGCACCCCAGAACCCTACCTCATCATACCCCATCTCTGCAGGCTGGCACTTTGAGGGCTGAACCGGGACTGGACCACCAGGCACTCTGCAGGGTGGGGCTTGTGGCATAGAGGTTGGGCCAGAACTGTCCCAAGGACCAGACTCTGCAGTGGGGGGGTGGCTTCTTGACAAGGACAGCCTTGTCTGTAACCACCCCCAAAGAGGGGCAGGGACCTAGTGTCCCCTCTCACCACCAAACAGCCAGCCTCCCCTCCCCAAGAACCCGGGTTCAGAGACCATTATGCTCATTCCAGGAAGCACCCAAGAGCCTGGAGGCCCCTCACAGGGTCCAAAGGATCCCAGGCACATGCTGGACTCAGCCTCCTCCAGAGGCAGTTATACTTATTTGTTATGAAATGCGTCACCTCTGTCCTATGGGTGTCCCGTGGCCACTGCCTGAGGACCTCCCAGGACGACTGTCACTTGCTAGGAGCATGGACAGAGCCCCCTGCAAACTCAGACGCCATGTCGAGGAGCAAGAGGAGGGCCAGTATGTCCCCCCCAGCAATCCTGCCCTGATAACATTGGAGCTAGGCCACGTTCGGTCCCAGAAAATTCTTGAGACTGAAGCCCAAAATTATGAGTGTGGTGAAGAAATCAGATGGTGCCCAGCTGTCAGAAGGAATGGAGTCCGGGGGTCTTGAAGGCTGGTCTTAAAACAAGCAACCATCTAAGTGAGGTGCCAGGCAAGTCCACGTGGAAGCACACCAGCCTGTGTGACCCATATTGTAAATAAAATCCAAATCCAAAGGAGGGAATGGTAGCAAGAGTTTACATGGTAAAGAGTTTGCAGAAGGCTGTGGATGAGAGTCCATTTGCAAGGTCCCTGCATGGATTACGCCTCTGGTGAATCCCCTGACCATGGTGGGGAGATGTAAATAGCCTTGCTAGCAGACAGCATGGTAATGCTGATGGTGGCAGCTACAATGTCATACTTATTTGATCTCCTTTGACTTATTTTAGTTTTCGGTTTATTTTCTGCCTTGTGACTGGGCTTTATCTGTTTTTATCTAGTCTTGGTTAGGGTTTGTTTGGGGGAGTGGGGGTTGCTTCCTATTTGTTTTGTATGATTTTGTCTATGAAATCCAGCCTAGGTAGATCTGGAGACAGTAATTAGATTGCTAATTGCCTAGGAGCATGGAAAGTGAAGAACCGGACAGGAAGTGTTCTGAAGGAAATTGTGGTGATAATCACAAGTCTTGATCTGATTGGGTTGAATGATTGAATTGTATGTAGGAAAGAATTAAAAGACTGAAGCCCGATACCATCAGAAGGCTAGAGTTCCCAGGGTCCGGAACGGATCCTCACCCATCCACCACCCCCACCAATGCAGCCCCAGCTGTGGCCAACCCAGAATGGTGGGGGAGGCCATGCTCCCCGACTTGAGGCAACTCAAAGCCTCAATCGGCATTGCTTCACCCTAATCGTGCCACGTGGGACAAGACCATCGATTCCGGTTTCTTCATCTGGAAGGTGGCTGTAGCCACGTTGGTGCCCTCTCACAGGGCAGTCAGAAAGGCAAGAGCCGTTTGGGTGTGTGAAGCAATGAAGGGCCCGACCCAGAACAAGGACACCATTTTTATTTCTGCCCCAAACATCTGATACCCTGCCCCCACTGGGACTGGGTACTAGCTGCTGCTCCCCTCCCACCCCAAAGAACATCCACTGGTTTCTGACTGGCCACAAGACACTGGGCAGGAGGAGGTGGGTCCTGCTGGAAACTTTCCACAACTGGAGTGACCTTCAGAGAAAGGACAGGAACTGTAGAAACTGATTGACTGGGGGGACATGTGCAGGGAGGTGAGAGGCTTCACCTTCCTCCTTCCCCTCTCCCCTGCTTTTAAGAGCCTTCTGCCTAGCCCTAGGGAATGAGATGGGATGAGAATGTAGATAGTGGCCATTGGGGTGGAGATGGGCTTCAGTCCTCTACATATGGGCAGTCCTGGCAGGATCCCTCTCCTGGCTCCTCATCCCCCCCCCCCAACCCCACCCCACATTTGGACTCCAGTCCTGGTCCTGTGGAAGGTGTGGATCAGCACCCTTAGTCCACATGACTTGGGAAAGACAAAGGCTCCCAGGGAGCTAAAGCACTGGTTCCTGCCTCATCCCCATCCTGCAGGACCTGCTGTCCCCGGTGCTGGAGAAATGTCACCCCCCATCCCAACATCCTCGAGGGCAGAGAGGGCAGGCAGAGCCACACATCTCGTGATGGGCCTGCCTTCCCCTAAAACAGACTGAGGGTGCTGGGGAAGGTTCTATGTCTGAGGTGGTGGGCAGACCGGGCTGGAAGACCAGGGGTGCTGCCAGATGGGCCAAGGGAGGGTGAGGGTTGGAGATGGGCATTACCACTTCTCTGGACAGAAGCTCCCCTGCCCACCTACGGACAAACGCCACAGGTTTGACCTCTGGGCATCCCCCTCAAGTGATTTCCAGGTGCCTGGCCTCCTGACAGAGCTGGACTCCCCAAAGCAGCCTGACTTTCTGCTTCGAGAGACGGGGCAGAGGAAACAATGGGCACTTGGGCTAACCAAGACCTCTCTGGAACAATGCCAGGAGCGTCTGCTCCAGGCCTTGAGAGGGAGCTGGAAGCCAGGGACTGAGAGAGCCTCTCAGGGTCCCCTACGCCGAATTTCTCCCCAGTAGAGGGCGCCTGCCCAGGTGAGTTCTCTCCGGATCCTGGCGCAACCCGCTGGCCTCCAGCCTTAGCTCCACTGGGCTGGGGGCTCCTGGATTCCACCAGCAACGCCTCCAGGAGCCTCTGCAAGGACGACCTGGGGGCAGGCGTGGGGCTCCCACCGCTGCCATGTGCCTGAGAACCTGGAACAGGAGAGATCGGTGGTCATGCCCAAGCATCACAGAAGGAAGATGTATGGACCCAGTTTCAAAGAGCAGGGCCCTCACTCCAGCCTTCTTCAGAGACAACGCTCAGGCCACCATCGACGATAGGCCCAGCTGCTCAACCCCAGCTGAGTCCCTGACCAAGACCTTCAAGACCCCCATATTCTCACTCTCCCACCAGAAACAAATAGGAATGGGAGGGTTCCTGCCCCCACCTGACACACACACACAGCAAGAGAGAGAGAGAGAGAGAGAGAGAGACACCGAGACCTCGTCCAAAGCCAGTCCTACAAGTCTTGCTCCTCACTTCTGCCCAAGCATCAAAGCCTTCCCTCTGACCAGCTCCACGGTGTCTCCCCCTTCAACCAATAACTTCTCCCCATGTCCGCCACTGGCCTCAATCTGTTTCTAGCAACCCACCCTGACAGGAGCCGCCTCTACTTCCAGCTCACTCAGTCTCCTAATTCTTCAAAGCTCCTCAAACCGCTGTTTCACAAACCCTGACCTCTGAGCACTCGGGCCTGATCACTTCTGGACTGCCCCATCCCTCAAGACTCTGCTGCCCTCATCGCTGAAATTGCCCTTCTGGAGACAGCTGCAACCCCCTTTTCTCCTCTGCCCACACAACCCGAGTCCTGATGGCCAATTAGCTAGCCCACACCAAGCTTCTACCTGAGCAGCCGGGGGCGAGGGGCAGCACTGCCCCCAGGTTTCCGTGCCTGTTCTCTGGTCAGCTTTCACACTCGGCTCTTGCCACTTCTCAGCTGGGCAACCTTACGTCACCCTCTAAGACAGTGGTTCTCAACCTGTGGGTCGCAACCGACCCTTTTGGGAGTGGAACAACCCTTTCACAAGGGTCGCCCAATTCATAACAGTAGCAAAATTACAGCTATGAAATTTGATCTAAGAGATCAAATCCCTCAAAGTCTCCTCATAAGAGATCCATAAAGCAAACTTGGGGGTCCATCTCTCTTCTTCCCCATCAGGTCCAGAGCTTCTCAGCTCCTACCTGAAGACAGCCTCTCTCCAAACATTCCGGATGCTCTAGATCAGTGGTTCTCAACCTTCCTCATGCCTCAACCCTTTAATACAGAGCCTCATTCCGTGGTGACCCCCCAACCATAAAATTATTTTCATTGCTACTTCATCACTGTCATTTTGCTACTGTTAGGAATCAGGCAACCCCTGTGAAAGGGTCGTTTGATCCCAAAGGGGTCGCGACCCACAGGTTGAGAACTGCTGCCCAACTATCTCCATTCCCTGGCACCAGTGGGCCATCACTCCTCTCCGCGTGCTCCTACGTCTACCCTTCTCAAGACCCTCGGCTCACAGCCTCTCCCAGTTCCAGCCAGGTCCCAATTGCCTCGACCTCACGATACTCAACCCTCAAGACAATTAACCACAAAGTTCATTGCCATGTCATCTGTTCTTGTTCATTTCAAAGACTGCTTATTTACATAAGTATGTATGTGGGAGACTCGTCCACATGTTAGGCAAATGGCATTGGAATACTTCGCTATCCGCAAGCGAAAAGCTTCAGCTACATCCCCTTTCCTTACATCCTACACAAAAAGTAACCCCAAATGAGCCAGGCCTTCACGTAAGGAACTGAAACTCACACTCAAAGAAGGAGAGAGCGTTAAGAGTGAGCCTTCGTGACCTTGACTTAGAGTCTCCTCCAATGAGACCCCAAAGGCACCAAGTGGGGAAAAGATACCCGAGCTCAACGGACACCAGTCAGGAAAGGGAAAAGAAATATTCACAAAATGGAATATTTGCAAATCCCATTGGATACGAACCTGGTATCCGGAATACATAAGTCTTTCTTATTGCTAAGCCCACTTAAAAATGGGCAAAGACTTTGAACGGGCAACAGCCAATGAGCACGTGGGAAAGTGCCCCATGCCAGTAGCCATCAGGGAAAGCAGAGTGACCGCCAGATGCCGTTCGCCCACTGGGGTGACTAACCCAGAGGGCAAATGGCAGCCAGTGTTCACAAGGATGAGGAGGGCTCCAGAGCTCCCAGGTGGCCGGCGAGAATGTGAAAGGGCACACCCACTTTAGAAAGCAGTGTGACAGCCTCCTGATAACTTCAACCCAGTTACTCTGACCCAAGAATTCTACTTCTGAGTCTATACCCCAGAGAACCTAACGCCATGTCCCCACACAAAGACACAGGTGTCCATTAGCCAAAGGTAGAAATATTCAAAAGGCTGTCGAAGGCTGTCAAATATAATTTGGTGTATCCAAGCCACCCAAAGGCAGGGTTCATGCTACAGGACCAAGCCTCAGAAACCGCACACTAAGCAAAAGCATCCAGTCACAAAAAGGCACACACTTGATTTCATTTGCACGGAATTTCAGATGGACAAATCCAAGGGACAAAAGGTGGTGGTTGTGGCAGGGGGTGGGGCTGGGTAAGGGGGGGGGCAGTTAGTAGGCATGGGGTTTCTTCTGAGATGGGAAAGTCATAGAATCAACTGGGATGACTGCAGAGTTTTGTTTGCGCATTAGAAGCCACCGAGCCATATGTATTTAAATGGACAGGTTGTATGGCACAAGTTATGTGCAAAGTCCCCATGACTGTGCTGCGGTGGCGTCAGTGCTGGTCCATGGCGACCCCATGTGGACAGGTAAAACTGCCCACGAGGGTTGTCAGGGCGCCATCTTCTAGAAGCAGATGGCATGCACTGTCTTAGGGCACCTCCTCCGGGTGGATTTGAACCAGCAGGCAGTCAAGAACTTAGCCATTTGCTCCAACCAGGCCTCAGAGGTGATAACTACCTGAGGAGAACGAGCAACCTCAGCGCTTGGGAATGCACGCTGGCAGTTCAAAACCACCAGCAGCTCTGAGGGAGAAAGACTGGGCTTTCTACTCCTATGAACAGTTAGTCTCGGGAACCCACAGGGGGTCAAACTATGACTTTTGGCTGCTATACAACAAACATGGCCCATACGCTCTCATCTGCCACCACCCACGACCCCGGAGGTGATTCTCACACAGAATGTTCCGTTCACCCCATTTCCTTGCTTCTTACGTCTGAACGTATCCCTCAATCCGCACCTTGCGTCCGTCTTATCGGTTTTGAGCTTTGTCAGGATGGCATCTTACCAAAGGCTGTGTTCTGTGGCTTGGGCTCTCTGCTACGGAGCGCCGTCGCTGTGTGCAGCTGCGGCTCACTTTTCCACTGCTGCCACGATGCTCCATTGCGTAAGGGTACTGTACTTTCCTCATGTATTCTTCCGCCCCCCGGTTCCTTAAATCCTGTCCTTGTTCCTCAAACCACCCTGGCCCCATGTCACTCACCTCTGCCAGGGGAGCTGTAGCCACTGGGTCTGCAGTCGTAAAACCTAAGGACCCGTTTGATATCCAAGGCGCTCAGGTTCCATCGCTGGCCAATGGGGATACTCGGGTCCCAGAGTGGGATAATGGTGGGGATTCCACGCCGGCTGAAGGCAAGCCTAGAACCCAGCAGGCAGAGAGCTGAGTCTGGATCCCAGCGGGGGCAAGGCCCGGGAGAAGAACTAAGGAAAGAAGAGGCCCTCACCTCCCATAGTGCATCACTGAGGAGTAGTCGTAGGGCACCAGCATGTTACTGCTCTGAGATTTGAGGAAGTTGATTTCATAGCCTGGCAGAAAAAGCAGAGATATGGAGGGGAGGTACAGAAGACAGCGGACGATCTATGGACCGGGGTGTGGGGGGAGTGGATCTGACTTTTCAGACTTCTGGGAAGCGATCACCATCGATCCTGAGCAGTTAGAAATGGTCACTCCGTGTTCTTCCACCTGCCCCAGCCCAACACAGATCCTGGTCAACTTTGCACCTGTATTACCTCTCACCCTCCCTGCCATGGGAGGGCATCAGACCTTTTCCTAAACCATGGGGAGGTACCTGGAATGTAGGACCGTGGGATGCTTAGTGATATCATAGTTCTATCCACCTCTCGACTCTTCCTTTCCTCAAATCCATCATTTGGGAGGCTAAGCTTTGCTTGACCTTCTATGAAGTCACCCAAGGCTGGGACAGCACGGATGCTCTCCTTACCCTGTGGGCAGCTTTAAGTCCCAACACCCTGCTGCCCTGGACCCGGAAGCTTCCATGCCCTCCACCTTTCCCAAGGCCACCAGCAGCCTCCTTTTCTCTAAACAGCTGTCCAGTGTCTATGTTCAAAGCTATTGAGTTGATTCGGACTCAGTGACCTTACAAGGCAGACAGAGCTCCTCAAGGACATTCCAAGGCTGTCGATCTTTTCTGAAGCTGACTGCCTCATCTTTATCCTAAGAAGGGGCTGGTGGATTCAACCACCATACTGCCTACCTAAGCATATGACTCTAGAGTCATTTATTCCTGTTAAGACGCTTATATGAAGCATGGTTTTGAATAGGCCATACAATCACATGGCTCAGAAATAAAATTATTAGAAGATATAATAAAAGTCTCTCATTCCATCTTTTCCTCCCCACCCCTACAATAATTAATCTCTGCTAGGGTAAGAAGTCGATGACAGTTTGTATATCCTTGTAGCTTTTTTCTACATAGATTGATATAAATACACCCTCATTCTCCTTCACTCTTAGGCTAGAAAGGACTTTTCAATTAAGGTAGCAGATATTTTGAACTTAAAAAATGTTTTTAAATATAATGCTGTTTGCTTTCTAACTCAATTTCTGCACCTTTATTCATTCCTGTTTGCCCTCCCCTCCCAGTTGGGCTTAAATGCTTCACTTCTTTGCTCTATTTCCCTAGTCCACACACACATTTACCAAGCACTGCTCGGTCTGAGCCACTTATTCTCCTACGCACGACCATCGTGATGACTTTTAACAAACTCCTTCCATTTCTATTTTTTCCTTAACTCGAGAGCTAAACAACTTATGATGTGTGCTTTCTAACATTGTCCCAAGTAGAAGTCGTTGTGAATTTTGACGATTTCCTTTGACTATATCATGACCAGAATATTTGTCTTACCGGGACACACGTGAGGTTTTTCATAGCTCTGATGTGTAAATTTTCACATGTAGTCCCATGAGCACTTGAAAGGGGGCTATCGTCTCTGTTCAGGGTTCAAAGTTACCCATCACCTCCCCCTACACTTCTCTAGCCTAACCTCTGGTCTCAACCCCCATCCCATCAACAGCAAGGGCTGCTCCCCATCTTCCCCCAAATACCATCTCCCAGTGCTCTGGGCCTGCCGGTTCGTGTCTGTCAGATGCTCCAGTTCAGGGCAGCAGAGGCATTTATACCAAGAGCCCTCTGGTTGCTAGCAGTCCTTTGAGCTCCTTCTCTGAGCAACACCCCCCCCCCCCACCGCCCACACCAGACCAAACCTCCTCTCCCCTCATGAAGCCCTTTGTGGTCTTTACCCCCCTCACCTTCAGCGGCCAGTTGACCCCCACAAGGATGGGGATCCCACCAACTCCTGGGACCAGGTCGGCATGCTCAGCATCATGCCCAGCACAGCTGCCAGTCACCAGCACTCTTCAAAATGCCCCCCACCCCAGCTGAGACCCTGCACGTGACTCCTGGTGCCTGCAGGCACTCCCAGCCCCTGCTGCAGCCCCCTTCACCTGGCACTTGCCACAAGCAGCCTAGAGCCTCCAGGACTGTCTCCTCTACCATCACCCTTCCCAGCTGGAGCAGAGCCTTTCCCCCCACTCCCCCACCCCACCCACACACACCCCCCTATGCCTGGCACATGAGAGAGCTAGTTAGATGTTCTTTGAGCACGGGCAAAAAAAAAAAAAGTCACCTACAGCTTCTATCAGAATCTAATGGTGAGAAAGGAACAGAGCAAATGTTTCTACCCTTGTTCTGGTTTGACTGAGGGGGGCGGGGGTGTCGGTCCAGGGGGTGGAGGGCTAGGCATGGTATCCACAGCAGCAGCTGGACCAGTCTCCTGGTCCCAATGAGCAGCAAGACCACCACTCTCCCCATGGGATTAGCCAGGGAGGTGTGGGGCGTGGGGGTGGACTTCTTCCAAGAGAGCAAGGCATCTCTGCAGGCCCTGGCTTGAGCCTGCTGCCCTCTCCCCACCCCGTCCCAGACTCCCAGGCCCCACTTAACCCGACCCACCTGGAAGGATCTCGTTCCAGTTGACACGGATGTAGCGGTCCCGGTCGGCCCGGGCGTGCTCGTGCCAGAAGCCCAGCACGTGCATAAGCTCATGCAGCGCAATGCCCGGGCCTTGCTGGAGACAGACAGGCTCCAGGGACACCACCTGCATGCCGCCACTGCGCCCCACGTTCGAGAAGCACCTGCAGGCCCAGGAGAGATGGTCAGTGCCATGGACCCAGGCTTGTGCCCCTGTCGGTCCGGGCCTGCACTCCCCTCACTGCCTGGCCTCCCCTGAGAGGGTATAAAGAACCGCGCCGCTGCGGCGGCGAAGGCAGGAATCAGTATTAACTCGCAGTGAAGTGGCCCGGGAGCCACTGCTTGCATTCATGTGATCTCAGACACATACACATACCCCCCCAGTGGCTTTCAGACAGGCATTTCTCTCCCATTTCCTCTCAGAGAAGAGGCTCAGAAGTCAGGGGACTTGCCCCAAGTCAGCGGCTCACGTATGCGGATATCCTGGAGCCAGGATTCAAGGCCAGGCCTGCTCCCCAAAGCCTGCAATCACTGTGCACCAGAGCCTTCCTCTAAGGACTTCAGAAAAGAGGCGCCAGCCCGGGGGTAACTCCCACCTCCCATCCTGAGAGTTACAGGCTCACCGCCCACGAGGCTAATCCACAGGAGTGTCCACACTGTGGACAATCGTCTAGACTAGAGGTCCTCAACCTGTGGGTCCAGACCCCTTTGGGGGTCGAATGACCTTTTCACAGGGGTCACCTAAGACCACCGGAAAACACATAAGTACGTCACGATATATAATTACATATTTTTGTGATTAATCATTATGCTTTAATTATGTTTAATTATGTTCAATTTGTAACAATGAAAATATATCCTGCCTCTCAGTTTACATGACGATTCCTAACAGTAGCAAAATGACAGTGATGAAGTAGCAACGAACATAATTTTATAGTTGGGGGTCACCACCACCTGAGGAACTGTATCAAAGGGTGGCGGCCTGAGAAGGTTGAGAACCACTGCTCTAGACCTTTGGAGGCCATGACCCACTGCCATCAGGTTGATGTCAGAGCCTGTCAATCATACGACAGAAGAGAGCCACTCGGGTTCCCAAGACCACACGTCTACAGAACGGGAGGCTGCGTCTTGTCCCTGTGCAGTGGCTGGTACGTTGGCGCTGCCAACGTTGAGGTCCGGTTGAGCAGGTCAGGGCTTACCCCCGCCCCGCACGGACAAGGCTCCTCCTTGCAGGTGAGGGTTCCGGGCTGGATGCGGAAGCAAGCCAAAGCAGCCACTGTCCCCGTGCGTGCGAATTGCACACTCCCTTCTGCGGACTCGGGGCACTTACCCAGACATGGGGACGATGGAAATGAAGTCTCTCTGGCCCTTGTACGAGACAAACCTGATGCAGGTCAGGTGCTCAAACTCGGCAAATGCCTTCAGGATGACTTGCCGGCTGGGTTCATCTGGGGGAGAGACATCCTGAATGAGCACCCTCCCTGGGTCCCTGGAGGTCTGCGCCTGAGGCTTCAGACTCTCTCCAGGGGGAGCGTCAGGACAGGGCGGCGAGAGCATGTCAGAGAGAGGCCAGACTCGGGGCGAACCGTGCCTAAGTCACGTGAGTCACTTGGTTTCTTAATGGGCCAAGGGTTCCCCAGCTCTTTCTAGATTTTAACCCTCCAAGCCCAGGAGCCTGGGCAGTAAGAGGACATGGACTGGAAGGCCTTCTGGAGCTGGGATCTGGGTGGTGATGGGGGACGGGCGGGGGTGGGGATGGGTGGGAGGTGGTAAAGTAAGAACCAAGATCGAACCCACTGGTCTCCAGTCTGTTCTGATTCGTAGCAACCCCTCAGGGCAGAGTGGAACTGCCCCTTCACATTTCTGAGGCTGTACATCTTTACAGAGCAGACAGCCTCGCCGTCCTCCCTCCATGGGTTTGAAACATAGACCTTCGGTTAGCATTCCAAGTTTTAACCCCCTGCACCATCAGGGCTCCATGGTGACAGGAGAGGAAGAGAGGAGAAATAGACAGAAGCCAGAGCCTCGTTAGAGTAGGAGCACCATAATGTTCACCAACCAGGGAGTGTCTGCTGGCTCCGGGGAGGGAGGAAAGCACCCCCCCACTCCCACCACGCCACTCACTGTAGTCTCTGGAGAGCAGGAAGGGGATCTCCACAAGTCCATTGCTGCTCTTGGGCCACTTGTTACTGGTAGCGGAGAACAGCTGGAAGGGGCTCTGAGGAGAGAAGGTAGTGCAGGGGGTCTCTGAGGATACCAAGACCACCCATGCTTTTTGCCCACCCCCCAGGGCTGCACTGTTCCGGCAACAAGAGCCCCATAGACGTGAGAGGCAGTGTGGTGGGGCCTATGAAGACGGGGAGCCCAAAAGAAACTCCATGGGCACATCACCATGGGCCTGTCACGTGAATGACGTGCAAAACATAGTCCTTTGCTCTCGTTAGACTCTCTCGAGCAGGAAAATGAAAGCGAAGAGGGTAGCTAGGGGTCTCAGCCCCCAAGGTGCCCTAGCTCATACGGACTCCAGGCTCCAGAGAGCAACCCAACCCCTCAGCAGGGTCTCAGCCCAGAGGATGGCCACCTGCCCACCGTGCTCTAAGGTGAAGTAGAGAAGGCAGTGGCAGGTCTTATCCAAGCTGAAGCGAATGTCTCCTTTCTCCCATCAACCTGAACCTGGGGAAGCAGGCCCTGACCCTCCAGCCACCAGCACGTTTCTCTCCCTTCCTCCCTGGTGGTCACCCAGCTCCCCCCGTCCACCAGGGACCTCACCCTGAGCCCATCTGCCTCCTCCATGGACCCTCTGGCTTCCTTCAACAGCTCCCCGGAGGTGACCGCCATACCACCGGAACACACTGGCTTCCCACCCAGTCACTGTCCCACTCAGGAGTCTGCCACCCCTCCACCCCCGCCCCAGCCTCCAAACTCACTACCATCGAGTTGATGCCAACTCATAGCGACCCTGGAGGGCAGGTCAGAACCGTCCCTGTGGGTTTCCGAGACTAACTTTATGGGAGTAGAAAGCCCCATCTTTCTCCCTTGGAGCCACTAGCAGCTTCAAACTGTTGACCTTGCAGATCACAGTCCAACTCGTAACCACTGCGCCACCAGGGATCCCCCAGCCACCCAAGAAATGGTCCCACTATCCTGAGCAGAGTCCCTCGATGCCGAGCGGGCTCCCACCCAGTGACCCTGTGTCCGCACGGAACGACACAACCGCCCCATCCGCCCAACGTTCTTACGTGTTGTGTGAGCCCACGGCTGCAGCCACTGTGCCAATCTGAACAAAGGTCCCCCCATTTCCTGCTCCCTTTCTGACTCTGCATTTGTCCTTTTGCCATCTTCAAGTCATGGCCGCCCCTAGGCCCATCCCTTCACACTCCCCCACCACGCCCTCATCCCAACCCCCCACGCTTGGCCAAGCTGTGCTGACTCTTTCCTTCAGCATAACCCTTTGAGAGACCCTGCCCCGGTCGGGGCACTGTCCTGGGTCTCCAGGGTTCAAGCCACCTCCTTCAAAGCCTCCCTCGGGCCCGCTGTGGCTGCTACATTGGACATGACCCTCCCTTGCCAATTAGGCTGACTAGTTCACAGGTATCACTCAGACAGATTTTTAAAGAGGGCAGGGGCTGTTTACCAAGCTATGAGCACCGAAGATCAGCTCGCCCTCCCATAAAACCCTCATGATGTGGGGGACCGAGGCCCCATCCTGAGGCGACTGACACCGAGCGTGCACGCCCACACTCACCGGCCGGATGATGTCCCCCTCGAGGAGAAAGCTGTTCTCAGGGGCTTCCTCTGGGAAGAGCTCTGGGAAGGAGGAAGGGAGGGTGTGCTAGCGGTTTCCCTTCTGGACACAGACCCAGGGGAGGCTTAACCGCCAGGTCAAACAGCCCTACAGTGGCCTGGCCCCCTCCTCCTCCAGCTCTGGAGCGAGAACCTCCCTAGGAACTGAGGCTGTGTGGCCTTGGGCCTGGCACACAACCCCTCTGAGCCCCAGTCTAAACGGGTGCTGCTGCTTGGCCTGACCAGCTCCTTTCCCTGCTCACGTACAGCCACAGCAGCCATGGCTCCCACAACTGAATCCTCCATCCTCCCACCTGCCCTCCCTCCCATCTCCATCCTGCTCCGAGCCCCTCCGAGCATGCCGTGGGCTTCCTCTCATGTCCCTCCTCTCATTACTATCCAACTGTGTCACCTGTGCTCTCTCTCCTCCACACAGCTCCCATCTCCCCACCCGAGTTCCTGCCCCGTGGCTGCAGGCTGCCTTCTCCACGACCCGTTACCCAGTTCACGCTGAGGCCAGGATCTTGGGGACTGTGGGTGGCACATAGTAGGTGCCTATGTTGGCTCCCCTTGAAGCAGAGCCTAAGACAGGAAGTCTCCTGCAAGTGACTATTGGGGAGCCGTGATCTCAAGAAAAATTGGAAAGGAGGGAAG